GCTTGCCTGCTTCCCAGCTCAGTTAAATTAGGAATAAAACTGCCATAAAGCAATGATGGGGCATTGCTGGCGAAAACGTAGATGGTCTGAGAAGGCATTGTGCCTTCTAGCTACCAGCTGAATAATAATGCACACTGTTCCTAAGAGGTGTGAAAATGCCCCTCCCTTTCTTTGTGGTTGCAGCTGTTTTTACAACACAAAGGGGCTTTATTATTTTGTTAACCCCCTGCCTTTAGCCAAGATACTTTGCCACCTCCAGCTCTCCAGCTCTCTTAATGTCCCTCCATTAACACCTGTCTGCCAGCATCAAGTAGTTCTTAATTTACAAATGAATTGCATTTATAACGTTGGGCTGTCCTAGTTTGTTTAGGAGCTTATTTATTTCTTTATTTTACGGCACTTCATATTTCAGTAAAAGGAACATGGTAAAATACAAAACGTGAAATATAAAATCTGAACTCCTTGACCAAAAGATTGCAAACGTACGTCTTAAGTTGCAAATATAATTTTTACTATATTCATTGCAGCCAGGAAATCAGCAAAATCTCCATTACAGGCTCTGTTTTGACACTCAGTCGCTCATGTGTTACCCTAAATAGTTTGTTTTTCGGCCCTACAGACACAGTTCGGTGATGGTATTTTGTCACGCTTACAGAGGGCAGCTGAGCATCTATCATGGACCAGTGCAAATTTGGTTCAGTTTGGTCCACATTGCTAAGGGCTGGTCAAATCCAAATCCATTTTTTCAAAATGCAGGGAAAGCTTTGACATTGTGTTTTTTATTTGCTTATTCTGTATAAAACACTAAGGGTGAAAACTGATTGTTTTTATGGTGTACAGTTCATTAGGTATGTTACATCTATTACACCAGTGGTTCCTTTAGCCATGCCCCACCTAAGCATCTCTAAAATCCTTATCCCCGCCCCCCCACCCCGTGACATATAATTCTTACTTTACTCAAAAAATGAGCTCCTACTCATGGGGAGGAAGCCTAAAAGGCTATCAACTTGGTTTAAAGCAGGTTCAAATTGCCACCCATTAAAAATCAAATTGCCGCCTTGTGGGGCATGGGCCCCACATTGGGCACCACTGCATTACACTGAGCAAGTGGTATTGGTTGTTTTGACATTGATTGAATGTCAGAACATTATTTCATACTTATTTCTGCCCTCTAAGGCCATCTTCTCTGAAAGTTTAATTTATTTTAAAAAAATATTTTTCCTAATATTTATAGCTGTATAAATTTAATTAACAAATGATATTCCTCCTCCCAAAATATGGCAATAATCCCTACATGAAATTACTGTGAAACAGACGCAGGCAAACAATCATCCTCAGCTTTCATTACTAAAACAAACTTCTCTATTCAGACAGCATCTGAGTTAATACATTTTACTAAGCCTTAATGCAGGGGTGTCCAAACTTGGGAACTTTAAGCCAGGCTGGGGAATTCTGGGAGTTGAAGTCCACAAGTCTTAAAAGTTCTCAAGTTTGGACACCCCTGCCTTAATGGGACATCTTTGATTTTGGCTAAATGCCACGTGGGATACAGCTATAGAATTATATAAATAAACCATGCTTTATAGAATAGCATGTTGTATGAACCAGTTGGAGTTTATTCTCTAATCTGTAATTAAAATAATAGTTAAAGGTGTTGTCAGGGGTAGACTGACACTCCTTTGCTCCTCAGTTCTTCGATTTAAGCTTCTTTTCATGCCCGCTTATGGGTTTTGCAGAGAGCTGCATCTGGCTATTGTGGGAAACTGAACTTCTTGGTAAGAATTATTCGAGGCATTTAGATCTGCAGTCTTTCTGATATGATTTTCCTAATTTGATCAAGTATGTAGTGATGAAAGACGCTGAGCTTGTCAGCTGGAAAGCTGACAGTCTGAGCTCAAGACCCGAGCACCCCACAACAGGGCGACCTCCCATTCCTTGCCCCAGTTCCTGCCCACCTAGCAGTTCAAAAGCATGCAAATGTGAGTAGATAAATAGGTACCACTTCGGTGAGAAGGTTCCATGTGCTTTTGGCATATAGTCATGCTGGCCACATGACCACGGAAAGGTCTTTAGACAACACTGACTGCTTCGGCTAAGAAACAGAGATGAGCACATCCCCCTAAAACCAAACTCAACTGGACACCCCCTGCCTTTTATCCCCAAAGCTAGAGTGGGGCCTCACTGGCAGCGGTGGCTCTTCCTTCCCCAGAATCAGCCCACAGATTTCCACTGCTCTCCTCTCCTCTGCCTTCTGCACATCTGCACGTCAGGCACTGGGCCCAACTGATCTTCCTCTTCCTCATCAGCCACCTCCAGACCTGGGGGCTGTTGACTCTCCATCTGAGGGCTGACGGATGGCCCAGGCTCCGCCTCTGTCTCTCTCTTTCTGCCACCTCCATTCCCTCTTCCCGCTCGGAGCTCTCAGGTTGCCTTATTAATGTTGACCCTGACTCCCATGCCACCTCCTCCTCCTCCTCCTCCTCCT